CAATTCTCCTCGTCATCCAGCAAGCCTCTTAAAACCTACTGCTCTGTGTGGGTCGTGAGGAAGTTGTCAATTTAAAGTCGTGCATGAAGGTCACAGCCCACAATGTGAGGCTCATTGTTGCTCAAAAGTACACAATTTAAGAATGGCCTTAAGGCCTAACTTGATTTCAGCAAATGACTGATTTGACCTAAGATTATGTGCTTTTGCTAGAAACTGTGCTGTAATCACTGTCCAAGTATGCGATTTCTTTCACAATGAGCGTACAATCTTATCACACAGCTGTTCTTCGTTGGTGGGGCTATATAATTTCTGTACACAAAACAAAAAACCTTTTGCAGTGTAAGTTATGAGCTCACAATAGCCAGTTTTAGTGGCAATATGGTCTGCAGCTGTCATCCTTACTAAGAAAGGAAGCTCAGTGTGTGAGAAATCTAAGCTGGAATCTAGATGGTGATCATTCATCCTGCCATAATGTCATGGAAGGGCTTGAATATTCTTCACAAAAAACACCCTTTGTAGGCATTATGTTAAGTGATGAATCACAATAATTGCTTGGAAGATGAGTAGATTTGTACAAGACATCACTTCATGTGAACTGCTTAATGAGTTGATGGTCGAAAGCTTCCCACTCGTTACGAAGGGCTGAACCATAATTCGCATCCTCATCATTATCAGCCGCAGCATCAACAAAGTGTGCAAGCTACATAAACACGTTACAGAGGCACACTGGGTACTTTTTAATATGCAAAATGATGGCGATTAGTGTAGTGGGTACCTAGCTAGCGTACCTGAAGTATGCTCCTCATGAGAGTTTACTGAACGCTTTATGGAAGGACACCCCTCCAGCTTATGCTGTGATTGTGCTGTATCGTGCACACAGACCTGACATCTTTAGCCCACTTGTTTTTGTGTGAGTGATTTTTTTATGGCGATTGTTTTCAACCACATCTTGATGTTTTGTCAGTTCAACAAAATGTACCGATAGAAAGAGACCTCTCAAGGGCTTATATGTTGTCGATGTTACCACACCTCACTGCCTGCTGTTGTCTCTGATCTCAATACACAGTTTGTTCGAACCTGCTGCTTTCTGTTGAACCAACCTGAAGGGCCCTGTGCTGTGTGTGACTGTAGTGTACCAGTTAACTATGAAAATATTGCATAGTCAAAGTGAACACACATTTAAAAAATTAAGTTATAATTTTACAGCCTGCATTGATAAAGTGATGAATAGTCTGGTTTTGATCATTACCACTAGTATAACGCCTGCTGTAGGCCTTGCCTCATGAAATTTTGAAATTGCAAGTTACGATGTGCGCCACTTTGCCGGTAGGGGTTTGCTTTTCAATAAAAATAGTTCAGAAGGAAACAAGTGCCCTTCGGATCGGTAGGTGTAAAAGTTACTGCCAGCAATGACATGAAAAAAGAAATTTGCTTCATTGTAAAGATGCTCAAAGAGGAATATCTTACAAAGTTTTTGATGCCGTGAAAGCTTAGAAAGACACTGCAGTCTGCTGTTTTCTTTGAATTGCCATTGTCTTGCTCCTATTTTCAATTTCAGGAGAGAGCCAGTAGACTCCACTGTAAATTCCATTTAACATTAGGTTGCGGAACATACCACGATGTACCACCAAGCCCCCCCCCCTTCTCTTCCCACAAGTGTCTTTTAATGCTGTTTCCCCTATTGCAATAAATAATGATGTCACACTTAACACTTTTTATTGTAATGGATTAAATGTATTTTTCATCTACTTACAGCAAATAAACTTGTTTAAAATCTAGTTTGTTTCGGGACTCATTTATACTGCTTTGCCCATCACCCACCATTATTCACAGCAAGGATACAACCAGATGAATCGGTCCCACCCATAAGAATGTCTCAGTTATTTAGCAACCACAGCAGTAATAAGAGCATGAGTTTACAAAAAGACAAAGTACACGACTATGCACCTGAAGATACGCTAGCTGACAATAGAGTTGCTGAAAAGTACTAAGTTTTTGTCTTTTGAGACATAGCATAACTATTGACAATATCTATTGATACATAGGACAATATATAAACACAACTTCTCCAGTAAGTTTATAGATGTACGTGAATCTAGCAGTATAAATGAGACTTATGAAAGCTTTGTTTTTAAATAAAGTGCACTTAGCTTCATGCTTAACGTTTTACCTGGTAAGGGCTTTCAAGAAATGTAAGAAGTGATGAATTACTTGCAGTTTATCAACAAATGGTTCTTAAGATATGCTTCCATATTCCATAGTTCTTAGCAAAAAAAAATACTTGAGCAGCATTTTAGCACTGAATGAAATGAGATTTGTCTAAGTGCTTGAACTGAACTGCGTAGGTTAGAATCTTTACCACTGGTTTATAGTCATCAGAAGCACGAAGTTATAATATGCGACATGCAAACACGGACACGTGAGATATGCACAGGCAAGTTCGCATGTCTGCTTTCTTTTCTGCTGCTGTGCATCTTTTCAGTTGTTAGCTGGCATTTGTGGGACCTTCATTTCTCTCTGGTGTCCATGTTTGCATGCCCTGTCTTTTAATAGCAATACAACAAACTAGCTCAGCTCTGTTATTTTAGGGATAATGCAGACTCGTCTCTCCTGAAATAATATTGTCCAATTCATTACAGGTAACATAAAAACATGAAATCTGGAAGCATTCTTAAGCATACTGATTGTTCATTATGCCATGAGAATTATAGAGGACCTTGTTATCTGTGTAAAATACAAATGCCTTTTAAAAAGCATGATATGAGTAATCCATATTTTGACCCCCCTCCCCTTCATATACATATGTCTCCTAAGTACACTGTTTAGTGCCAAGTATTGCCAAATGTATTATAATTTACTCAAAGGAGAGCTTACCTGACCTCTTAAATCATCCTGGTTCATTTTGTTCAAAATTAGTCAACATTTTTCTGAAAAAAATTACTATAGCATCCATATAACTTATCTAATGGACAATCTAATGGAAATATAAGGGACAATCACGCCATGCCATTTGGCATGATTGTACATTAGATCTCATTGTGTGTAACAAAAAAAATGAGCCCTTAAATGTACTTCTTTTGCTTGGCATGATTGTCTGTTCGATATCATTAATATTGCCTCTAACAAAGAAAACAAGCCCTTAAATGTACTACTATCCCCCTTTTTGTTTCCTTTCGACCCTACGGTCCTGATGGGCAATCTGTTGATGTTAGTACTTGATTATGGATGCCTCATTCACTGTGACGGATGCATTGCACGCAGACATGTAAGGTGTTCAACAACATGCTCAAGTCACAGCAACGATTAACATTAAAATAGGTCATCTGAAAAGCTGGGAGATGAGTGTTCCCTGCCTTTCAATGAGGTACACTTGCCAGAAGCAGCTTACAAGTTTATAATGACGCTATTCCCGAAACATATTCCTTTTTTTTACAATTCTATAGCATCAAGTTTATTGTAATGGCATCGAGCCGAGTTGTGATGGCTGAAAAAAAATATTAACGAATCGCCTCCCATCTTTTTTTCCCACCGTAGTTGAATTGCACTCATACGCGAGCCAAATCAAGTCCTAGGGTTTTTCGCGTCTTGGCAAACACACGATCTCAGGATAAATATCACACCCAAGGGGCATGCACACGCTCTCGGATTTACTTTCAGAAAAATTAAGCTGCGCTACAAATGAGGCACGAGAACGAAATGAACAGGACGATCGCAGATCCAATTCGTTCTAGTGTCTCGTTTTTAGCACAGTTTAATTTTCCTAAATGTCTTACCAACAAGCCCCCCATCATACGCTTCCCAGATTTACGTTGTGCACCACTTCGTCCGTCGCGACACAATCCGTACATACACCACGGCGTACATTGTAAAATGATCCGCGTATACATTGCCAGCAGCCGTGAAAACATTTGGCAGCGAAAAGCCAGAACATTCCGTCGACGTCATGTCTGCGGCGCACGGACGGCTCAGTCTGTACGGAGTGGGGCTTCGTACGTTCGGGGCTAAAAAAACACATGATCGCACGCCAAGAGGGCATGTACTACACACTCCCGGATTAATGTTAAACACCACTGCGTCCATCGTAAAACGATCTGTGGAGTCACGCGTAAGACAAGTCAGTAAGAAACACAAATTTCTACGGCGTGCGGCTTAAACCAGTTTCGCAAAACCATTCTGTGGGCGCCGCCATCGTGCTTAAAAAGACAAAAAAAAAAACCAGAATAGCTTGTTGAAAACACGTGATCATCTTCAGCCAATATCGGCGCCGCAATTTTCCAATACATCTCTTGAGATATGATACAAAAACCGGCTACCTTGCAAAAAAAAGGGGGGGGGGAATCGTTTGCAGTGTGCTGCCATCTATACACGAACGTAAAAAACAAATGGCGCAGCGTAGGCCAAAGTTTGAAAGCGCAAATCGCGAGCCTGCGCTACTTCTCGCATAAAATGAATGTTATGAGATTCATGTACTATAAAAGCACTGACGAATCTTATACGCACGTAAAACAAGCCGAGTTGTAACTGGAATGGTCGGAAGTTAACATTTAACTATACAAAATGGCTGCAGAAAATTTAGCGAAGCTTATACGTGTACTCTGCGGGCTATAATCGAAAGCGTGAGTTGACATGCATTTTCGCGAAAACTCCGCGTCTCGCAAGAACGGATCAGATTTATCGTGTCACGGGCCGTCTAGTATATTCACTGATGCACGAAACAAACAAGGTGGTTTGTGTCCGTTTCTTGCTAACGCGTTAACACTGCGGCCAGTACAGCCGGACAAGGCAGCATTCGGAGCGTCAGCCTACTGATCCACCTTGAGTGGACGCTCATGAATTCTGCTAGGCAGCGCGACAGTCTATATACATTGCGAATAGACCTGGCGGATGCAATGATAGTGATTGCCAAGAAATACGATGCACTTGAAGTGTACTATGCTCCACAAGCGTGCTCACTAAGCACACAGTTAGCGGTGCTTTCGCTCAAATCATCGTCTTCCGACCTTGATAAAGTGAAAACTCCTCTCCAGCATCTCCTCGAGTTTTTTCTGTTGCTCGCGCCCCTTGTCGCTGGCCAGGGTCTCGATCTGTTGCATGAGGCGTCCCTTGAGCTCCTCCCGCAGGGACGTGTGGAAGTCCAGTCGCCGGACACCGTGCAAGTCGAGCAGCGACAGCGCGGGACGCAAGGAAGGCAGGAGTACGCCGTTCTCCTCTTGAAATTCTTGAATGGCTTGCAGTGGGTTCACGCAGTTGGTCAGAGCCACGCGGAGGGCCTCCCGCCCGGGAAGGCAGGCCTGTTCGCGTCTGTTCATGGATGACGCTCTCAACGAAGACGAAAGCGGGGAGCGCGTACGCAGCAAGAGTCGGGCTGATCAGCTTCACTCTGTTCCATACGCTGGAATGAACGCTGTGAAGGCTAGCAAGACCTTTTACAGAAGATGCGTTCGCACAAAGAAATAGTTCGTTGTTGATTCGCACCCCTATAATTTATTTCACCTATACGCAAATTACCAAAAGTGTTTGTGGCTTAGGGATAAGCCTCTCCGTTGTACGGCTGTGAGTGTGGTGTTCTAGGCATCTATGGTTCTATATGTCGTAGCGTTTCGTGGTGTTCGCTTTCTATTTTTGTTTTCATTCGAAACGTTGAGACGCATGGCGCGCTTGCTCTCGCTCTGCTCGCACGAGCACTTTCAACGACGAAACGCTGCCACGAGACGCGTGGAGTTACACATTTTGCAGATCGAGCTCTTTGCGTAGCTTAACACAGCGTTGAATGATATGTATGGAAAACGCGTGTAACCCCTTCTCGATTCGATCATTCCAGCGACGGAGGCGGCGCCATGTAGCCGTGCTCCGAAACTGTCACATGGTTATTCGCAAGTTCCGCAGACTGTCACGTCGCTCCGCGGCTGCTGGCGTAATTTTTTGAAAGAGTATTGGAGTAGCGTTGGGGCAGCGGCGTTCATAGCATGTGCATGTGTACGTCTTGGCTGGCGTTGGGCTTTGACTAGAGCATTTCTGTTGTAGTTACTGGACGCACAAAGGTCACTGCAATCGTTGCACAGTCATCGTTTGCGAAAAGGGCGCGTTTTTAGACACAACGAAGTAACAACTGAGACACTTATTCGCGTTCATCTGTACCTGTGAGTACGTTTCGTGCCTCATTTTGCGTGAGAAACGCGGGGCATGTTTTGATCTGCTTGCCATTCGGCAATGACCTTCCGATTTGTTGCTCTCGCGTTCATTGCTTCGCCTTTGCAGCAAAGCTGTGACGTTTTAAATGCGAAGCATTTCTTAGCGAACTTCGGCGACTTTGAGAGTATCCATCTATCTATCTATCTAGCCGCCGTACTACTTTTAGCTCTCCTGGCCGTTTCGATAATGGTATCGACAGCAAACTTGGCATGGCATATCATGACTGTACGAAGGACATATTTGGCTAGTCATAACATGAAAGTCATGTCATGTATGTCATGAGTGTCACGATTTACATTTCATGGTCGTGAAGCTCTCTTGCGGTGGTTTCGTTCACATTGCATGTTGAAAAACTGGTACGGTATGACATAATTGCATGGCGAACAGAAGCGATAGAACCTAACATGAAAATCATGACGTGCGTGTCATGTAACAACATGACTACACGCCACATTCATGATGCGCTCGCGGCAGTTTCGCTAGCGTCACATATACCAAGTTTAGTATTGCGGTACGTGAATGGATGACGAAGTATGATACTGGTGCAAACATGATAAACATGAGATGCGTATCATGTGACAACGTGACTACATGCTACACTCATGATGGGCTCGCGGCCATTTCGCTAGCTTCACGTGTACTAAACTCGGTACTACGCGACGCGAACGGACGAAATAGGTAAATGACACATCCAAACATAATAATCTCGACATGCGTGTTATGCAAGAACATGACTACATGCCACACTGATGATGCTCTCACGGCCGTTTCGCTAGCTTCACATATGCCAAATTTGGTATTACTTGACGCCAATAGATGACGAACTTATGCGATTGGTGCAAACATGATAATCATGAGATGCGTGTCATAAGGCCAATACATTTTGACGTGACGCGGTGCACGCGCTCGCCGGCGTTCATTTCGTCGCGTCAAGCCGGCGTTGCCATGCCAGGCGCCGGTCCTGCCAGGTGCCGCTTTGACACATGCGCGTCTCAGCGCGTCCGGCGTCCCTCCATCACGATAAGAGGGAGACTCAATGTCTTTGTAACCAACGCCTCCTCTAGGAAGATGCCTGAGGAAGGGCTCGCGCTCCCAGCGGAGTTGGCCTGCCTTCAGTTTTAAACAAGCTCCGCGCGGTGGCGCTCGCGACCGACACTATGTTCAGGATGTTCAGGATGTTCAGGATGTGGAGTGGGTTTGAAATGGAACCCAAGCGTAGAAGCGGATGGAGAAGAGGCTGACACGAAGTGTAGGCAATGTGAGGTCGAGGAAAAAAAATTGCCCGCAGCTTCCCTCGGGGAAACACTGAGGAGGATGCGGACCATATAATTGGTTAACGGGGTGTTAAAGTGCGACTTACTTGGGTCGATGGCTAAATTGGTTAACGTGGTTGTGAAATGGGGTGTTAAATTGCGACTTACTTGGGTCGATGGCTAAATTGGTTAATGTGGTTGTAGGAGGGGGTGTTAAATGAGTGAACACGTACACACGTATGCGAAAGGGCGGCGCTGGTCGAAGGGACGTCGATCTTTGTGTTTGTGGATTCGTTGGAATTCATTTCACTGCGACCTTGGACGTCGACGTGCCGTACAAACCAACCGACGAGCGGCAACTGAGCGAGCGAGCGCCGACCTTGAGTATATATACAGCACGACGGCGCATGCACTGTCAGCTGTTGAATGTTCTCGAAGCCCGACGCCACATGTGCGTCCACTGGAGAATCAGGAGAATTGTAGATGTGGAACGCGGTGTGTAGAGGAGGAAGGGTGCACAGATGGTGGAGGAGTGAAGCGCGCGCGGTGTGTAGAGGAGGAAGGGATGCACAGATGGTGGAAGAGTGGGCGACGGCGCATGCGCGCGCGTCAGCTGTCGATTGTTCGAGAAGCGGTGCGGACGGCGCGGACGGCGCGGACGGCGCACTACAAGGCGCGAGTATAAGATGCTCCGCATCTAAAAATGGAGAAAATGATGGTTGCCCAGAGTGAACTGCTGATGAGAATCGCCGAGCTCGAGACTGCGTTGGCGACAGAGCAAGAGAAAACGAGGGCAATGGGAGAAAGACTGAAGTCCGCCGAGGAAGCACTAGTGAAGCTGAACAAAGAAGCGGCCTACGGAGAGAACAGTAGGGAACCGGCAACCAGAACGGTGGAGAAGGAAGAGCAAGCAAGTTTGGAAAAAACAGGTTTAGCCGGTTCAACTGTCGCAAGGCCGAGCTTCAGCGAGGTAGTGGTGGGTCTGGGAGGGAACAAAGCAGCCAGCGTCATAGGTGCAAGTAGCCCCCAGGTGCAGGACGCTCCAGCTGAAAAGTCACAGCATGTGATAATCGCCGGGGACTCGAATTTAAATCGATGCACAGAAGCCATCAAAGAGAGGGTAAGAGGTGACAAGAGGGTTGCAGTAGGGGCGTTCCCAGGACGCAAGCTTGAAGCAGTCATGAGGCAAGCGAGCGCAAAACTCAAAACAACAGCTGATAGACGAAATCTCGTAATAATTTCAGGCGGTTTAAACGATGTCTTAAATGAAGATACAGCAGGACTAGCAGCCACACTGGCGAAAGGCGTCGATGACATGCGCGCCACTTCTCCTAAGGTACAGGTAGTGATATGCACGATACCGGAGGTACCGGGGCGTGATAGCAACCTGCAAAGAGCGGTTGTCAACGCATACCAAGAGATATGGCGGATAAGTCAAGAGAAAGTCTTTGAGGTGGTGAAAATAAACAGAGAGGTGCATAGGTGGGGTGGTTCTCAACGAGACAGAATTCACTTCGATGGGCGGCTAGGTCATGAGGTGGGTTGGCGACTTTCAGGACGTGCAGTAGCTTTTTTAAGGGGCAAGCGAGCCCTTCGGGATGCAGGATAGCTAGTAACGAATAAAAAAACCAGGGAGACTCTTCGACAGGTGGTATGGACAGACACGATTCCAAAGTGGCACCAATATCTAAGATAGGTAGAGTCCGGGGCATAAATAGACGTAGCCACAAGTGCCGTGCCAATTCAGACATAGGGTATAATAATATGCAGGGTGGTAGGAACAGGCTGAAGTGGGAAGAGATAGAAGAACAGTTAAGGGAAGAGAGGCTGATGGTATACGGTTTTGAAGAAACACATCTCAGGGACATGGAACAACCTCCGAACAATCCGGACTACGCGTGGGAATATTGTAATAGAACAGAAGGCAGCAAAAGGGGGGTGGTATTGGGGCATTCATTCTTAAAAGTACAGACTGGCAAAGGGTCAAGCAGGAGTGCAAGGAACATTTACGGCTGAAAGGGAAAGTGGCAGGGCAAATGACACTCCTTGGTTTCGTGTACTTGTGGATGGAAGCAAAGGCCAGAGAGGAAAACCAGGCAATGGTAGAGTGTATATCAAAGGACATTCAGGAGTTAGGAAGAGAGTGCCAGATAATTATACTAGGAGACATGAATGCGCACATAGAAGTATTAGATGGGTATACCGACCCGACAGGCAAAATGATCATGGATATGTGTGAAAAGCTTGATTTGATCATTTGCAACAGTACCGAGAAGTGTGAAGGGCAAATAACATGAGAGGTAGGAAGGCTGCAGTCGACAACAGATTATGCACTGATGTCACATAGGATGTATGATAATCTCAGGGGAATGCACATAGATGAAGATGGCTCCAGAAGTCTGGGTAGTGATCACAAACGTATCAACCTAAGTTTTGGAAGAGCAGTGAAAGTGGGAAGGAGACAAGATGAGCAACTACAGGAAAATTTTTATCCAGAAAGGCAATTGAAATAGCCACTAAACAAATTCAGAAAGTAATCACGGAGGATAATAAGATAGTGTGGACATACACGAATCTAATTAGACTCTTTGAGCTAGAGCTTGCTAAGACGCGTGATAAGTCACCCCGGAAAAGAAGACACAAACCCAAAAGTTGGTGGGATGAGGAAGTTAAGAGAGCCATAGCAAAACGTCAGGAAGCCTCTAGGAAACACAGACATGCTAAGCAGCGGGGTGAACCGAGAGATGATGTTGAAAGAAAATGGGAAACCTTTCTAAGCTGTAGAAGGGATGCATCCCTTCTGGTCAATGAAAAGATTAGAAGAAAGGGAGCTCAGTGGCTGGCAGAAGTACATAAAAAAGATA